CTGACTGGGGCTGGGCTTGGGTCCTACATCCCATAGCACTGAGGCAACCTCCAGCGGTGGGGAGACCTCAGACCCTGACCTCAGCCTGCCTGTTGGCTCAGCCCTTTTCCTTCATCCTTTCAGCAGAAATCCCAGGCTGTGGGAGCATCTCAGAGGCTGGGGCCGGGAGCCTTGGAGTGCTGGCACTGCATGGGCATCCTTCCCAAAATGGTCCCTACGCTCAGCTGCTCCTTCTCCCAGGACATGCTTCTTATTGACTTCATCTCTAATATATGGGATTATCCTGAAACAAATGAAAGACAAAGACATAAACCAGGTCCTTCCCTTGGGATTGTTTTGCAGGAACTGTTTAGATTGTTTAACTGCTCCAGTGGGACACTGGCACAGGTTGCGCACAGAAGCTGGGGCTGCCCCATCCCTGGCAGTGTTCAAGGCCAGGTTGGACGGGGCTTGGAGCAACCTGCTCTAGTGGAAGGTGTCCCTGCCTGTGGCAGGGGGTTGGAACTGGATGAGCTTTGAGGTCCCTTCTAACCCAAACCATTCTATGAATCTGTGAATAGCCTGGGTTGATCCAAGCCGGGATGGGCTTCCCAGGGCAATTCCTAGCACCTGGTGTTGGTGCTCAGTACCAAAGGCCATCACCCACAGTGTGATGTGGGTGTGTGCTGCCTGCACCCACAGGTGTGGGCTGGGAGCAGAGGGGGCTGTTCCTGACAGCAAACTGCCCCTGCTGCCAAACCCCCTCCCTGGGGATGCCCTCTAACACCCCCCTTTGCTCCCCTGGCCGCAGGTACCCAGCAGACCCGGGGTGCCCTCTCTCCCGCCGCCTGCCTGCCCATCTGTCCCCAGACCGGAGGAGCCCGCCGGCCCCACCATGTCATCGGACCCCAGCGCCCCGCCAGCGGTGCCCCCGCTGCACTCGCCCAAGTCTCCGGTGTGGCCCACCTTCCCCTTCCAGCGCGAGGGCAGCCGCATCTGGGAGCGCGGCAACCTGCTGCTGCGGGACCTGCCCAGCCCGCTCCCCACCAAGAGGACCAGGACCTACTCAGCGTGAGTACCCAGCGCACAGCAAGCGGGCTTGGGGCTGTCCCGCTCAGCTGAGCAGGGGCCACAGCCACCAGTAGGGCTCTTTGCGGCTGGGGCATGTTGCCACTGTGCAATCTCTGCACCTGTCTGCCGGCAGGTGGGATCCATATACTCTCCCCATGGAATGCTGCCTATTCCTAACAAACCCCTCCCTGTGCTGTCCCCCCCAGTGAGATATCTCCATCCCTTTCCTCCTGCAGCACAGCACGTGCCTCTGCTGGCCCCATCTTCAAGGGTGTCTGCAAGCAGTTCTCTCGCTCCCAGGGCCATGGGTTCATCACCCCCGAGAACGGCACAGAGGACATCTTCGTGCACGTGTCTGAGTAAGTCTGGGGATGTGTGGGGCTGGAGACCTGCGGGCTGGGGTTAGGAGGTCTCTGTGATGTGGAGATGAGGCTCTGCTTGTCCCCTACCCCCAAGGCGCTGCTGATGGATTGGGCATCTTCCTTCCTTGGTGCTGGGTGGTCCAGCTCTTGGCCCCAGCCCCACTTCTCCTCTCCTCTCCTGCAGCATCGAGGGGGAGTATGTGCCGGTGGAGGGGGACGAGGTGACGTACAAGGTCTGCCCCATCCCTCCCAAGAACCAGAAGTTCCAGGCGGTGGAGGTGGTCCTCACCAACCTGGCACCCCACACGAAGCACGAGACGTGGTCCGGCCAGATCATCGGCTCCTAGGCCCCTGGGGGGGGGCCACTGGCCGCTCGGCCCCACAGAGCCAACCTGCCCGGCCGCTCACACGGGGGCCCGAGGCGGCGGTGGGGCCGGGGCTGCCCCCAAACATGCAGGCGTTTGCGTTCGGTGTCTTTTATAAGGTTACGGTTTCCTTTCTCTGTGTGTGTTTGTAAGTGTCTGTCGAGGGGGACGGGGAAAGCAGAGCCCTCCCCTGCCGCCCTCCAGCGCTGGGGGCAGTGCCGAGCCCCATGTCCCCTTTCTTGCCCCGGAGGCCATGGGGATCAGGGGAACCAGCCCTGTCCCTGCCCACCGGTGCTGAGAGCGGGAGAGGGAAGGCTGGGGGAGCTTGGCTCGTCCTCCTAAACCCCGCTTTGGCAAGATGGGCTCCCCATTTGGTCTCATTGCCTACAGTACCCCAGCAGCAGGGCACGCTGTGGGGCTGGGGGGAAACAGGGCAGTGTGGGGCAGCGTATCACTATTGCTGGTAGCTGATGGCACCTTCCTGAGCCACATCCCTCCATCAGCAGACCTCAGGCCAGCGGTGTCACGGGGAGGTGGGTGGCTTACAGAAAGAAAACACCAAGGGGCAAATGGGTGCTGGCAGGGTGCTGGGCCCTGTACCCACAGGGGCAGGGGTGAACTTGGCACCCCTGTGCTCCCCACCACCCCTGGGCCGGTACTGCACTTAGTTTGGCTCCATACTGATGTGGTTTTGGGGGAGATGGCAGCGCCTCGTCCCCCCCAGCCCTCTGGAGACCCTGCTTCCTATCTGTATGTGTGTGTATGTGTGTGTGTGTGCATATCCATAGCTTGCCAGGGGGATGTGAGGGGCTGAGGGGTGTAAATAGCCTCAGCCACTTCTCCCCAGCCCCTCGGTGTAGGCAGGGTCTCGTATACAAAGCACAAACTTCTTTGGTTTTGGTCTTCTCTGCCATGCCCTGGCCAGGCGGGCTCAGGAGGGACAAGGCAGAGGTCAATGGGACAAGGACACCTTACACCGGGCTGGGCCGGAGCTGACCCCAGGCGATGCTCCAAGAATCATCAGCATCTGAAAGGGTTTATTCCAAGTGGGCCTGGGGAGGTGACACCCAGCTCCCTGGGGACCTGCTCCCTGCGCATGGCCCTCAGCACTGATGGAGAGAGGCCTTTTCCACCTCTTGCTGCTGCTGCTGCGGTGAGGACGGGTCTGTTGTAAGCAGGGAGAAGGGACGAGGCCGGTGCCAGCCAGGCCCTGTGGGTTCAGGAGGACCCACTGCCTGCTGCCCCAGCCCAGGCTGACGTGGGGATACCCCACAGCCCGTCTCACTGCCAACCCCAAGCCCGGCTCACCCAGGGGCTGTGGTGATGCTGGCTCAGGCCCCAGGATCCCTGGGACACAGAGTCAGCTTGGCCAAGGCAAACCTTGATTGATTTGGTTGGTTTCCCTTTCCCTATTTTTGGGGGGAATAAACTACAACCCCAGACTTGTGGTGTTTTTACAACTCCGGTGTGTTTCCCGCCTGTCTGACCATGTGTCAACCTTTGTAACATTGGCAATAAACCATTAAAAGTGACTTTCCCATGAGCCCTGCCCATCCTGGCTCTTTGTCCTGTGTGTGTAACAGTGGGGATGCTGCTGGCTGTCCCAGGTAAAGGACCTGGAGCACTCAGGGATTCATCCAGACAGCATGGCCTGGGGGTTCGGGGGTGCTCCAGTTTTGCTCAGGCGGAGCAGATGCTGAGCCTGGGACGGGAGGCTGCTGCCCACTGGGATGGGGACTGGGGTTGGGGCTGGTCTCCCACTGCTGCAGGGATTTTGGGTACCTGCCATCTGGATGTGTCTCAGCCCAACAGAGCCCAGCACAAAGCACACGCTGCCTCCAACCACTGCGTGTTGTAGCTTTAATAGGATTGATTTTATTTGTTTTAATATACATATATCTGTATTTAAATATATTTCTTATTTAACAGTTGGTATTTGCCAGACAGGAGCTGCCCATCTCACACAGACACGGAGCCACTCCCCAGCACAGGGCCCACCACATCATCTCACTCACACATGCACAGAACCCCCAGCTCACACCACAGGCACCCAGCGGGTGAGGAACATCATGGCAAAGGGGTCTCAGGCGCAGGCACAGGGCTCGCACCCCAGCTCTGTGCCTCATCCCTGCCTGCAAGGGCACAAAGCAGGCAGCCGGGACTCTCAGCAGCCCTGCTTGAGCAGCAGGGTGGGAGCAGATGAGGCCCCTTCAACCTCAGCCATGCTGTGACTCTGAGGTGCTGCCCCAGGTACTTCTGATAGCATCCTCACCCCTCCAGCAGGACAGCTGCTCCTGCTGCAAGGTGCCCTCAGCTGGCCCAGGCTTGGTGTAAGCCACAGACAGGAACAGGGAAGGCTCCTGGGCTTGATCCCACCCGTGCACACAGGGTGAGCTCTTGAGCAGACAGTGATGGCAGGTGCCATGGAGGCCAACCCTGCCTCTGCTCTGCTCGCCCTGCAAGCCCCCCACCCTGAGCAAGGGACGCACTGCCACCGGGACAGAGCCTGTCCTTCCCTTCAAATGTGCAAGTCATCTCAGCCCCCAGGGCCACCAGTGTCTTGTGACTTCAGGGCTGCTCTTCATTCACCACTGAACTCACAAGAGCTCCTGCTGGGTTTGAATACACTACAGGAAAATTAACCCCCCCCAACCGCACACATCACCTGATCCACAGTGAAACAGAGAAGGAGGAACCACAAAACACGATTCCTCCATGAAGGTTTCAGTGCCAAAACCAGTGGCCTGTGAAAAGAGTAGCCTGCATTCAGGTTTCTCCAACAGGTCCTCTTCTGCCATGCAACAATCTCTGGGTAGAAAGAGGAGTTTGTGCATTTGTTGGGGATCTCTGGATGCTGGGCAGACCCTTGTGCTCATGCAGATGGGGTGCATTACAGACCTGATGCGTTGTAGAGTTAAGAGGTGCAGTCAGGAGGAGGAGCAGCACCCCTGCTCCTGTGGCCAGGCAGCAGCACCAAGGACCACTCAGGACTCTGCCCGTGGCCACATGGGAGCTCTGCCCTGGGTGTATGAGTACTGACATATCTCACCTGATGCATGCAGTCCCTTGGTTACGGTGGTGGCAGCCAGCTGAGAAACTTCTCTCTGCAGTCCAGGTGGGAGATGAGGAACAATGGCAAGGACAGCAGGAACAGGAGAAAAAGGGGAGAGAAAGCAGGACCAAGAGACAGGACAGTGCCACAGCAACAGGGGCGTGGTGAGAAAGGGGAGGGTTGCAGGAACATTCACTATCTTCCAGGACCACAAACACCAGGTACGTGTGCCCTGGGTAGCTGTAAGTGGACATCTCCCTGGAGGGGATCCCTGAGCTTCTCTGGAGTACCAAGTTGTGACTAGTGTCATCGGTGCAGCCACATGTCCCAGCACAGCTGCCAGGAACAAAGGGGCAACATGAGGTCAAGGGCTGAAGGGCAGATGTGGTTTTGCAAAGCATGAAGACCCAGAAGAGAGCAGCAGGACATATGACAGTACTGCAGATCCTGCCTCCCTAAAGGTGACCATGTAAACTGAGCGTATGGGGTGAGATGGGGTGGAAAAGCAGGCTTGGAGGGCACTGTTGAGGGGGTACCTCCATTGGCACTACGAACCAAGTCTGGCCTGTGTTGGCCCTCTCTGAGGATGCCTCTGGCAGCAGGATGGAAAGCTGAGCACTGGGAAGGAAGGCGACCTGGTCTGTTATGAATGCCCTGGGTGAGGTTTTACATTGACACACTTGTGACACCTAATGGACATGGCAGTGGGCAGAGGACCAGGAAGCCTTCTGCCCACAGCGGCTCCACAGAGTGCCCTGCACACATCAGGTGCCTGGCGTCCTCCAGCCACACCAGAGAAGGTCTCATTTGAGAACACAGAAAATACATCCTGGGGTTTTTTTGAGGGCTAAAGAGAGAATTAGTTTCTTCATGCACCTGAGCAAAGCTCAGAGCAGAAACCCAGTCAGTCATTCTAAAACTGTAATTCCCAGGTCACCTGTAGTGACTGGCAGAGCGTGGCATTGAGGGCAAGGACATGGCGACCTCCTCTTTTAGGATGCCCAATGCTGCAACCAGCTGGGGTCGCAGCTACCCCTTCCTACTTGGAGCAAACAGCCTTCCTGGCCTCCTGCCTCAGAGCAGCCCCATGGAGAGTGCCTGGGGCCTCAGCAGCCCCAGCCTCCCCAGCCAAGGTGCAAAGGGGAGAGAAAGGTGAGACACATGCTCCCTCATGCAGAAGTGTTGAGAGAAACAGAGGGAAAAGAAGAGAAGAGGGGAGGGAGCACAGGATGGTCACACACACGCTCTTGTGACTGGCCCCTTCAGTGCTTTCTGACCAAGAAAGCATCTCCATTGCTGCCCCCCCAGCCCAAACTGTAAGAGAGAAGTTTTTCTGGAGGCGAGGAGGGTCTGCTCCTGTGAGCCCCAGCCGCAGATGGGGAGTGCCAAAGGGCTGCTCAGCAAAGCCCCCTCCTGCGCACCCACCTGCGCTCATGCCTTACATCCCTTCCAGCCCTGCAGAGTGGGGATTTCCAGTCACCCTGAGCAGATCCCTCCAGTGAAGGTGCTTTTCCTGGCGGGGGAGAGGGCAGGGCTGCGGGACCTGTGCAGTCAGCACTCGTTTGCTCTCTCCGGAAAGAAGATCTCGCGGCATCGCTGGACCGTGTCCTGTGGGTTCTGGACGCTGTGTCCCACCGTGCGGGGATCATCGTAGATCTCATAGTCGTTCCCTCCCTGCAGGGAGACAGGAAACAGGGAAGGTGTTAGCAGGGCATCACCAGAGCATCCTCATCCGTGCTTCCACATCTGGCTCTGACAGAGGATGTCAGGGCTCTGCTGTCCCAGAGAGGCAGATGGGCCTGGGTTGGAGCCCTGCTCCCTCCCTCTTGTCTCCCCTCCTCTGTGCCATGGGAGGAGCGTAGAAAGGATGGGGAAGGCCCAGGACCAGCAAAGCTTTTGCAGGGAGCCAGGAGCTCCCTGCCCTGCCTATGGATGAACTAGCAAAAGATGTGGTGGGCGCATGTGGGGCGCAGAGGTTGCCCGCATCTGGAAAGAGCTGAGTGGATGGCCAAGCTTGTCTACAGCAGCAAGGGAGCATCATCCTTCACTGCTGTAAAGGGAAGGTGAAGCTGTTCCTGCTACTGAAAAGCCCTCTCCTAAGTGCATTTTGGGTCCTATGAGCCACAAGAGTGGCTGCATCCCCCGAGAGTGCCAGGGGCAGTGCTGAGCTGGACCTGCTCCCCAGCACAGTGACCCTGCTACCATCATGAGCCTTCTGCAAACCTCTGTTGCACGAGAACGTCTCTTCCCCTGGCAGCACTAGAGGTGCCACAGGTTGAACCTAGGCTGTGGAACCATGATGGAGCAGCACCATGCAGGAGAGAAAGCGGCCAAGTGAGGGGTGAGCAGGGGATACTCACAGGGGTCGTCTCATTCCCAAAGAAGTGGATGGTGTCAAATCTCTCGTCATCAAGCACGTTGAGGCAGTAGCGCTTGTCCCAGCCCTCCGGGAAGACGTCAAAGCTGATCATGCCACCTGCCAGCACAAGGAAGGGCAACACTGGTGGGAGCTGACAGGGTGTCCCCCATGCTGGGGTGGGAGAGGTCCAGATGTCTGTGTGCAGCCCTCAGCCCAAACAGGAGCCAGGTACCAGCTCTGCCTTGGTGTGCCTCTGCAGCATGTAGCTGTTCCTATGACAACGGGCTGGAGTGACATCAGTGTGGCTGTGGTGACCATCAGCACAGCTCCCCTGACTGCAGGCAGGCAGCAAGCAGGAACCAGCACTGCAAGGGGGGATGCTGGGATGGGAGCTCCCAAGAGATGCATCTGCTGGGAGACATTGGATCACAGCTTGCATCAGCATGTTCTGTGTCACAACGGGGGGCAACCAAGGCTCCTGTGTGAACATCACTGGCCCTCCTAGAGCGCTCTGGTGCTCCTTAACCCTGCAGGGACTGGGACCTCCCAGCACCCTGCATGCTCAAAGCACTCCCCATGCACCACACAGCTCAGGGGTCCCAGCTGGCCGTGCTGCAGGCCCCACGCAGGCTGTGTGCACTGATCAAGGATGGTCCATGGAGGTACCATCAACATAACTGGGGCACCAACCTGGCCTGTCACCTCTTGCTGCAACAGTCAGGTGTGAGTTGCTCACATCTGGAGGGGCACAAAGGCAGATGTGGCAGATGTACAGAGGTGAGGGAGCTTTCATAGAGTGCACACATGTGTGCACATGAAACCCACAGCCACCCAGGGTTAGCAGACTTCCAGCCCTTGCTTTCAGACCAGGCTTACCCCAGAACCTTTTCAGGGTTCTCAGAGGCAGCAGCTTCCCCATCCTTGTGAGCCACCACACTGCATGCATAGGCTGCAGAGTCAGAACCTTGTCCCAGCACCAACACGGGTGACAAGTTCCTCCCAAAACAAAGCCTTAGGGCACACGCACGTTGTGATCTCGCTTGGAGCCAGGAGTAATGGGGATTTCAACTTGGATGTGCATCCTCCTGCCAGTTCAGGTCTCTGCTCTTGGCTCCATGGGGACCATTTGCTTCTCCAGGCAGTCTGCTAGGCTGACAGCAGTCCTGGAGTTGCACACTCTCCTTCTCCACAAATCACAACCCTACTGCTCTTAGGAAGCAGGTACTTCTAGTAGTAAAGTAGACAGCTATCCACAGGGATGGCTCCTGCTGGAGGAGAGGCACTGATTCCCCAGACCATTCAAACGTTCAGCTCCTGATGCCATGATCCTCTCCTCCATGGCTGTTTGAGGTATCCCTGTTGGAGCCCTCCTTGGAGCCTGAGGAGCTGAGGATGGAGTCTGTGTGTTCAGCTTGGGGCAGAGGTTTCCCTACCTGGGCAGGACACTGTGATATGTATGGGAGCAAGTGCCCTACAACCCCAAGGATGGGGATGCGCCCAGACTTGAAGCAGGAGTCAGCATGGGAGCACGAGCCAAACTTGTCTGACCTCATTAAAATCCTTCCTTGTTTAGTATCCAAAGCCATTTATCTGTGAAAAACGCTGTTTCGCTGCATCCTGGCCTTTTAAACACAACGGAGCAGCTAGAAGGGGGTCTTGATGCCAGTTGCAGAGGGTAGGAAACTTGAAGGGAGAAGAGCTGGTGTGGGGACAGCCAGCACTGTCCCTTTCCTAGGCAGAGCATGGGTCTGGGGGGCTGCTGGGAGATCCTCCATCACCTCTGGGGCTTGTGTCCTCCACAGTCCGGGCCAAGGCACATGGAGCCAGCCTGGCAGAAGAGCCCCATTCCCACGTGTTCCTGGTGTTGGATGCCTGACCTGAGACACACTGTGTTTTCTCTGTGGAGGAGCGGGGGGCCCGCAGCTCCCCTTGTCTTGATGCTTCTACACAACAGGCCCAGGCTCTTCATGGTGGTTTCCCAAAGTCAGAGGAGAGAGGCCCATTGTTCTGCTCTCGTCCCCCGTGCCTGCAGGGACCTTGTCCTTCTCTGCTGTGACAAACAGTGTGCGTCAGTGCTGTGGGCAGCAGAGGATGCTGCTGGCAGGATGCTGAAGGGGCTGCAAGCAGGGGCTATAAGGGGGCCAGACCCGCAGTACTTGTCCACGCTGGGTCAAGAGTGGGGTGTCACCTCGTGGCTCTCAGCCTTGTCACACCCTTTCCCTTTAGCTCAGGCTACCACATGGCACCTTCTTATCTCAGACATACCCATGTGCCCTGTGGAGGGTCTCGTCCACCACCAGCCCCACCGCTTACACACCCTCATTTTGCTCTCCAGGCTGGCCAGACCCCCAGGACTGCTCAAGCCCCTCCTTTGGTTCCTCATCTTCACTAAGGGTGGCTCTCACTTGCAAAAGCCACCCCAAGAAGTGGCCCATGGCACAGAGCTGCAGGCTCCTCGCCTCTCACAGCTCTTCCTCCAAGAAGAAAGAGGTTTCCTCTGTAGCCAACCCTCCCAAGTAAACCCCAGAGCTGAGACACGCATGAGACTCCTGTCTCATTCCTAGAGAGAAGCGCATGTGCCTGGAGCTCTGCTGGCCACGCTGCTGCTGCTGCTGCTGGAGCCAGAACAGACCTCCTGGGGAGGGGAAGTTCTGCAGAGCTAACTGGAATTAAGGCAGGGATAACGTGGCAGGACAAAATCCCTCCCGTCTGCCTGCCTGCAGGGGAGCTGAATCTGCAGCACAGTTTATTCTCTGCTGTCGCCCTGTTTTGGATGTGAATGGGGTGTCCCTGCAGCAGCTCTCCAGGACTATGAGCTCTCTGTGCTCCTCCCTGGGTCTCCAGGCCCCCAGAGGGAACAGCCAGGATTCCTGCTCCCCTTCCCAGCATTTCATGGGAAACACAATGAAGAGGCCAGGCAAAGCCAGGGCAGCTCTCTCCACTCACCTCGAGAGAAACGCAGGCCTTTGCCAGCAAACTCCCTCTGCAGGGCTGCCACAAACTTCTCCCGAATCCGCTCTTTCTGTGGAGCAAGGAGGAAAAGGGAGGAAAAAAGGTGGGATAATTGGATACTGACAGTCAACCAGAACCCACCGTAAGCTGTCTGCTGGGCAGCTATGGCCCCTTGCTCTGCTCCCTTCCCACCCTCCCTGAGCCCCAGTACAAGCACATTCAGCCAGCTTTCACCAGCCCTGACCCGTGTCACGTACAGGCCACCAGCTCAGCAGCTCCTGGGAAGAGCAGGTCCCAGCCCTTCCTCGCTGCAGTTACCCCAAAGCCAAGCTCCCAACCCAGTCTCCAGCTTTGCTGCAAAAGTCTTGCCAAGTCCAACCGATCCCTCAACCCCAAGGAAGCTCCCCCAGACAGGCACTGCTGTGAGCATGGGCCAAGTGCTCCAGAGACCTGCCCAGCAGATCTGCCATGCACCTCCCAGTCTGGAAAGCCCATTAGTTCCAGCTCTGTTGGGGCTGGGAGAGTGAGGGACAGAAGGCAGCTGCTGGGCAGCCTTTGGTTACCGTAAATGAGGAAACACCCTATTAAATAAGTGCCTTATTCCCTGGGGCTCTCCCACAGCACAAGGAATCCTGCTGGCCAACCCACTGCATTGGTGGTACCCAATGAAGTCAAATTCTTCCATCCATCTGTGTCTTTCCTTAAGTTTTCTGACCCCCCCCAGTGCTGTTTTCACCTTGGTGCATGTGCTGGCCTGGTGCACAGTTTGGAGCTGGGCTCCTTTCTCCTTGGGAAGGGCAGGAAGCAGGTAAGACCTGAGATCTGTGGTGGTGCAACACCAGCAAAGGGGAGGGTGAGCCTGTGTACCTTGTCCAGCTCGGAGAACTCGATTCGCTCCTCTGGGGTGCAGCTGCGCCCGATGGGGGAGATGTTCAGCATCCCATTGCGAAACTCAATAAAGGTTCCTCTGTGGGTGGACAAGGGCACAGGGTTACTATGCAGGGAGACTAAAACACACCTTCCCAGGGGAATGGCTGCTTCGTGAGACATGCAGTCCCTGCAGGGACAGGCAATAGGAGAGGAGCCGTGCCCACTCACAGGTACTTCATGCCAGGTAAAGACCAGGCATCAGCACCCCTGATTAGTGTCTCCAAGGAGACTGTAAGAGAAGAGGAGTAAACAGTTCCTGTGTGCCCTGGGGATGGGCTGGAAGCAACGAGCACAGGGGAGATGATAGGAAACGTTTTCTAATGTTATGAATAACCGCAAAGACAGAGGAGGCCACGAAGATGCTGCAAGGGTTGGAGCAGCTCTGCTCTGGAGGCAGGCTGAGAGCTGGGCTTGTTCAGCCTGGAGAAAAGAAGGCTCCAGGGAGACCTTAGAGCAGCTTCCAGAGCCTGAAGGGATCCTCCAAGAACTCTGGAAAGGGGCTTTTTCCAGGGGCCTGTAGTGACAGGACAAGGGGGAATGGCTTTAACCTGACAGAGGGGAGATTTAGGTTAGAGATAAGGAATTAGTTACTGTGAGGGTGGTGAGGCCCTGGCAGAGGTTGCCCAGAGAAGCTGTGGCTGCCCCATCCCTGGCAGTGTTCAAGGCCAGGCTAGACAGGGCTTGGAGCCTCCTGCTCTAGCGGAAGGTGTCCCTGCCCATGGCAGGGGGTTGGAACTGGCTGAGCTTTAAGGTCCCTTCCAACACAAACCATTCTATGATTCTATTGGCAGGACTGCACCAACCGCCTGATGGGACAGTGGCATCTCCACCCGTGGGGGCTTTTAAGAAGTGCTGGGTGTGTTGGGTGAAGCTGGCAGTGCCTTGGGGCAGTGAGATGGAACAGGTCAGTGTAACTGGCTCCTGATGTCTGGCAGCAGGCTGATGAGCAATCACAACTCCTTTGTGGGACACAAATCAGGTAGGACCCACCAGGGCCTTTGTATCTCAGTTTGTCCCCCTGCACCTTTCACTGCAACTCTCACCTAAGTTTGCACAGACAGGACCCAGTTCCTGCTTGCCATCCCCACCTTGCACTGGGACCACCACTCTGCCACCTCCTCGTTGGGCTGGTTCAAAGCACTGGGCTGGCAGAACACTACTCCTTTCTTTTTACTTTGTTATAAACCCCCGGTTCTCTCCGCTTATCACCTTGGAATAACTCACCCAGGGTTCAGATGGGTACCAAGGCTAGCAGGGCAGCAGAAACAGGGGACAGATGGCAGCACTGCTCATTGGAAAACAGACTGAAACTTGTGGAAACCTAGCTGGAGCAGGGAGATCTCCTTCCCTGTCCAGCAGAGGAGCCCTGAGCTCATTACCCCCGATGTCCCTCCCAACCCTGTGCACTGTTTCTCTGTAGTAAAGTGCTACCACTCTGAGACTGGGGGAAAAACTCTCAGCCTCCTGTCTTGTAAGTCAGTGAAGGAATGGACACATGGGCATGGAGAATGGACATGGGGAATAGACATATGGGCAGGCATGCCGGCAGCTGGGAACAGCATCTCTGCAGCACCAAGTGTTCAGCAGCTCATGCGCTAAGCCAAGACTCGGGAAATGGGGTTTAAAGTCCATGCTCTGCTAGAAATCCCATAAGCCTAAATCCACAGAGGTGACTGGGAGCTGAAACTCTGCCAGGCTGTTGGGCAACCAGACAACAATGAGAAAACCAAACAGCCTTGACGGTCCCAGCCCACACTTCTGGGGCATGTTTTGCTGTCAGCCCTGTTGTAAAGAACCACTCTGTCCCCCCTCACTGGTCACTGTATTGCCACATGGTGATTCACATCAGGCAACTGATCCGGATCACAGTATTTAGCAACTTTTACCAGCTTACAAACACAAATGGAGAGCAGGAACAAACCGGCCAGGGCGAGAGAAGGGCAGAGCTGCTGCTTGCAACAGCCCTATTGGCTCATGGTTTGTGAAACCATGGTCTGAGGGGTAGTTTGACACTGCTCCCACTCTGGTTTAACTGTAGGCTGCCTCTGAAAGAGGGCCTCTTCCTCTCCCCTTCTACCTTCATGTCATCTCTTCCCTCTCCCTCTCCTTTCTGTGATAATAGGATGAGCTGATCCAATGGAAAACTACCCTTTTCTTTGCTGGCAGTGGACTAGTCTTCCTTCAGATGAGGTGTACCAGTCCAATGCACCCTGTGGCTGCTGGATTCCATGGGGCAAGCAGACAGAAACACTGGTTTAGAAACAGTGTGAAGCTGTGTGCTGAGGCGCTGGGCCTCCCATCTAAACAGCTGTTGTTCATCTGCTTGAAAATCATAGGACCAATGATGCCTGACGCGCTGACTGGTAATGACCTGGTACCATTGTCCTAAATGAGATGCACACAGTGGCTGTACCGTGATGGATGCAGTGGCTGTACCCTGATGGATGCAGTGGCTGTACCCTGATGGATGCAGTGGCTGTACCCCGATGGATGCAGTGGCTGTACCCCGATGCATGCAGTGGCTGTAACCTGATGCATGCAGTGGCTGTACCCTGATGGATGTAGTGGCTGTATCCCGATGGATGCAATGGCTGTACCCTGATGGATGTAGTGGCTGTACCCTGATGGATGCAGTGGCTGTACCCTGATAGATGCAGTGGCTGTACCCTGATGGACGTAGTGGCTGTACCCTGATGGATGCAGTGGCTGTACCCTGATGGATGCAGTGGCTGTACCCTGATGGACGTAGTGGCTGTACCCTGATGGATGCAGTGGCTGTACCCTGATGGATGCAGTGGCTGTACCCTGATGGACGTAGTGGCTGTACCCTGATGGACGTAGTGGCTGTACCCTGATGGATTTTCTTCGCTTCCCAGGGAAGAAAATCCAAATGGAAAAGCAGGCATTATGCTAAAAAATAGTGAACACCCTCCAGAAAAAAAGACCCTCCTCCACTATTTGCCCACGGTGCCCAGCTTGGTGCGTCAATGATCCTACATGGGACCTCTAGATGGTAAGATAAAGGCTGCAGCAAGCAAATTCAGTAGCTCAGCTGTTCTCAGGCCATCTCTGGAGCTCAGAGCTCCATAGCAATCAGTGATACAACTGCCATTTGCATGGGCTGGGGCCGTTACCGTTTCTTGGGCAGCTTCAGCAGCGCCATGTAGTTGAGACAGAAGTTGATCAGGTCCTGCAGCAGCTCTTCTCCCAGGTGGTCCTGGATGGCCTGACAGAGGAGAAGGAGTGAGGAAGATGCTTGACCTCCCAAGAAGCCCACCCAAGAACATGAACTGGAGGTGTGAGACTTTCAGATCTGGCGTTTAGGGGGGGGAGAAAAGAGGGGCCAGGCATGCTCCCCATGGCATACAGGGAGCAAGGAGCATGGCTGCAAGGAGGCTGGACATACCTGCTTTGAGACCAGCTGCCCATTCTTGTATTGCACTGTGCCGTTCTCTGCAAAGACGTAGTCAAACTTATCAATGACTGTGGGGGAAGGAAACAAAACCATGAAACATGGGCACTGCCTGGGAAAAGGGGTCAAAAGGACTGGGCTGAGGACTGAGCCCCTCATCCTCCTGCTGCCTTAGTGCCACACTGCCCCCATCCGCAAAGGGCCACCAGCCCTCTCTGCTCCCCGCAAAGCGAGCACGGACATTATCTGCTGCTCGCATGTGGGGAGCTGACGCATGCAGGGGGGAAACGACCTGGCCGAGGTCACGGGGTGAATCAATGGCAGGATGAAGATAACGGCTCCAAAATACCGGGCTTCCAACTACGTGCGTGTCATTCTGCTGCCCGTCCTCCCCTCCCTTCCCCGCTGCCATGCCGTTACCGGTTATCTAACTCCAGCCCCCGGCCACACAGCGCTGCCGACTCAGCAACCAGCCTCAGCCGGGCATTTCTCAGCCTCCCCGCTCTATCTATCAGGGAAGAGCTCGGGGCCCAGCCGAGCCTGGCATCCGCGCCAGAGCAGGAAATCACGGCGGAGGGCGCAGCGGCTGCCCCGCTCCCCCCTTTACCCCATGTCCCCACTGAACACGATGAGGAACCCCCGGACACCCCACCTCGGCGCAGCAGGTAGCAAAGCTCCTGCCCGCGACAGGGGGAGCCCAGATGAAGGCTGTACAAACCCAGCGCCGGAGCCGGCAGCGCTGGTTGCAGCACCCATTCCTGCCCGCTCTCCACAGCGGGGGAAGGATTAGCATGGCCATCCCGCCCCAAGGGCAGGCTTGGGTCAGGTTTAGGACACGGGGGAGGGAGCCCATGGTGCGCGCCTCACCTTCATCGCCGTCCCCCAGCTGCTCGGCTATCTTGGCGTAGTCGGAGCCCCCCACCACGCCGATGTGCACCCTCTCCCGCAGCTCCCGCAGGAACGCGTCCACCTCCGGGTCGATTTTCTGGCGGGGAAGCAGCGGGTGAGGCCCCGCCGGCGGGACGCGCTCCGCCATGCCGCGCTGCCCTCGGACCCCGCTTTCCGCCCAGCCCCGTGCCCCGCTGCCCCGCTACCTGCCGAGCCGGTGTCAGGGTCCCATCCACGTCGAAGAGGCACAGCACCCGGCCCCGCGCCGCTGCCGCCGCCATCCCGCCGCCCACCCGGCCTCTGGCAGCTGGAGGCGGGACCGCGCTGAGGCGGCGATGGCGGCCGCACCGCCCTCCCGGGCAACCCCGCATCAATGCGCGGCCACGGAGGACCCCTCCACCGACAATCATCCGTACATACATGTGGTCGAAGGGCCCTTCCGTGTTGCCTTAATGTGTGGGTCTTGAATGGCTTCCGTTCTTCAGCTCTTTCTGCTTCAGAACCCTCACGAAGGGCCTGGGGTTTTGGCGGGGGGGGTGGCGGTAGGAATGTGTCTTTACATGTTATTGCTGCAGTGCCCCTGTATTTAGGGGCTGGGGTCGGGGTTGAGCTGCCCGGTAAGCTCGGCTCCCGCGGGGGTTTCTGTGTCCTGAGGAAAGGGGCCGGAGCAGCGTGCATTCACCCTGTTGGTGCCCATGCCTCACCCTGTGTTTCCAATAGGATGCTGTCAGTAGCTCGTATGTTCACTGGGGAAGTACACTCTTCAGCCTCCACGCCCCTGCAGAAAGCCAAATCTATTCGTTGCTGTAACTTTTTGCTTTGACCTGCTTAAGCAATTACCCCATGAGCCATTTAGGATTAATCAGACCATCTGGCCAGGCCATATTCACAGGGATCCGTGTTACACTGGCCTGACACGCGATGGTGAACAGCCTGCCTGGCTGCTGTCTCCTGCAGTAACTCCTGAGTTATAGTCCAACATCAGAAACAACCCACATGGAACATCCAGCATGCTTTGCTCAGCAGTTAGCTTTGCCTTCGGTCCCCACATGGTGCTCATGGTGCTGAGCTACACTGGAACTGGAGGGAGACTTTATTATGGTCTGATTGGTTTTCTTCCGCTCAGTATTACTTGGTTCCAGGACATGGTGCAGCCCCTTTTCCCAGCTCTCTACCAGATTCCTCTGAAAAGGAAGCATTCAGGTGGCTTCACAGGTTCTGGTTTTCACTCATGGGTTTGATTTTCCTGCCCCCACTCCATGGAAGGGCGATCTACAGAAACAGTGTTAATAATTTACCTCTGTGCCATTGCCCTGGACAAAGTTTACCTCCACATCCTCAACTACTTGCTGAGGGAAGTATGGATTGTGTTCATGTATCTCCACACTGTTCCAGTGGGTTGCCAGGCAGTCTTGCATGGTTATTATTTACCCTGGCATTGGTGTTCCTGCAAAATCACAGCCCTGTTGTCTTCTGGATCAGACCCTGGTTATAAGCTCCCATCTCTGGAAAGCTGGACTCTCCTCCCACAATGGTTTCATCCAGCTGTTAGCGTGCAGTTGGGTGCTGAATTTTTAGTTGACCTTGGGGTTATGCTCATTTTATGCTCATGGCTTGTCTAGGTGTGATTACATATATCCCTCATCAGTCAATGTGTGGACGCTTACTCCGGAATGTGAATACTTCAAAGTGTGTCTGCTGTGGCATGCTGAAGAGTACGCAGAGATGCCTTCAGGCACTGGGGTTGCTAATGCCCAGGACTCTCAAAAGACAGGCATGGTTTCAGGCACACAGTGAACTCCCGGGGGTTCACGAATGCCAGCCTTTATCCATGACATGGTATGAGGACGAGACTTCCCATGTCTGGGTGGAACAGGTGTTGTGGTAGGAAAACCTGCCAGCTCACTCCTGTAGCAGCCCTGGTGGTGTAGCAGCACTCCTCTCTTGCTGTAGCCCAAGCTGCCCTATGGTCTTGTCTCCAGGCTGCTCCTACCTGCAGCTTTCTTATTTGGGAGAGACCTTCCTCCTTGCCTTTTGCGTTATTACTTTGGACATCCCAAAAGCTAGAGCTGCTCTCCCGGGCTCAGGTGCATCCCTGCACGCAAGGCAGCAGTGCCACCTCGGGGCACTTCCCAGAATTGCGAAGTCTGCTAAAATAAGGCTCAGCGTTCCCATTTTTGCACACTCCCGCAGTGCCATGGGTTCATGCTGCAGAGCTTCCCAAAACGTGAACTACCTGCTGTGCTTTCTCCAGCTTATTTGTCATACCACATTAGAACTCCTATTCAAGTTGAAACACCTCTCCCGGCACCCCAACTTCCTTTTGGTATCCGCCACCAAGCACTTGCTCCATCTCAGTTTCCCAAGAGCGTGAGCCTGTGTACAGCTGTGCTTGTGTCTTCATTTGGGTTAGCTCTGGGAACACGGATGCTGTGGCTGTTTGGGTTATTTAATACTTTGCACTTAGCCCACTCTTGCCTCCCTTGCTTGCTGCTATGATAGGCAGCAGCTGTTGTCACAAATAAGACCTCTGTGACTAGCAGCAAGGGCAAATACTGCATTGGAAGTTTAGAAGGCAAGTGGCTGTGAGCACTGGCTTACACTCTGTCGAGGGCTGCCATTAAGGTCAAGGTTTTCCTTCATACATGTTCCCAGGTAGTTTATGTGGGGCTAGCACTGGTACTTGATAGCAAGCCATCACCACAGCTGAATAACACAGCCTAAAATAACCAGAGTCATGAATCTTTGTTAAAGCCTCCTGTTACAAGCCCTCTTCTGTATTACACTGCTAGAGAATGTTAGGCAAACAGTAAACTGTGTGGTTTATCATTTGGATCCCACTGATAAGCATTCAGAAGGCTGAACCAAACAGAACTCATGTCTTCTGCAGAGCCAGGTATTTCCCCTGCTCCTTAACAGTGCAATGCTACATAATCCTCATCAATAACCCCTCTGCAGCTCCAGAGGAACCCAGGTATGAAGTCTACTTCTTAAAGCTGCTTTCTTATTTCTGAAAGTAGTAACATAAGACAATCAGGAAAAGCTTGGAGCCTTTTCCTGTGTTTAAACTGTTGGGCTTCAACAGCAGGTATTAGGTGTTTCATTCCTGCATGCTTAGATGAGCAAGGGCTACACAAAACCTACACTGATGGAAAACCTACTCTCCAGCCTTCATTCACCTCATCCAAGCTGTGTCAAGCCTCAAGAGTGTGGTCTTGATAAGATACCACAGTGCTTACAGAAGGAAAAATATTGCCTGCAATGAGTTTTAGCCAAGGGCAGTAGCAACAATGTCCAGTAGCAGTACTTGGTAGTTTTTCATCCTGTGCTTCCTAGCTGGGACCAGAGTGAAGACAATGATGACTTCCGCTGCATTTGCTGGGCAGCTGCATGGACACACATATTCAAACAGAAAAACCTGCTGTATTTATTTTTATTGTAATAGAAAAAAACCACAAATAAATCAAAACATCACTTCCTGTCTAAAGACGTTATTAACATTTTTAAATGGCACAGGGGAACCCCAACAATACAAGACAGAAGAGTAAGTGTGTGGGGCGGGAAAAAAGGCTCTGTTCCCTTTCAGGAGCTCAGTTTCCCCAACCCTCTGTCAATCAGCTGGCAGAAGTTTGTCACCTATATACACTTACATACACCTCTCAGTCTAGTTTGTATATCTATGGATGGAACAGTGGGGCCACAGTCCTGCAATTTGCACATAACCATCTTTGAGGAAAACAGGTTTCCAAAGAGGCCTACAAGGTACAAGGGTCTCATCACCCAGTAAGACCAAGCAAACAGGATTCCCTCCTACAGTTCTCTTGCCATGAAACACAGAGCAGGTCCCCAGCGCAGGGGACCCTCTAAGAGCTCCTTGGCTATTGCAAACAGTGCATGGCCAAGGGAAATTTTACCCAGTGACCTCAACGTAGCAGCAACATCTCTTCTGCAAAGGGACTGCTCAGGAAGGGAAAAGGCAGATGGCAAAATGCACGGGGTGAACTGTTCTTTCCTGCCTTCCAAAGGGATGTAAGAAGTCCTCAAGTAGGCAGCCAAAACAGAAACCAGGCTCAGGACCTCTTCAGCGGTGAGCATACAGGGGATATCCTTATTGCGTAAGAGTGTGGAGCAGAAACTGTGGCACCAGTGCTTCCACTGAAGGCAGCTGCACCTGAAGTGATAGCTTGCTGAAAGACAAGCAACCACAGCTATGCTGCTTGCAGGTACCGCACTACATGCCTAGATGGGCTGGACTGTATCAGGCAGAGTATACCTATTCAACTGAGGAAGTTCCTAGACTTTTAACAAGCTACAGCACTTTGTGGCTGCAGGGGCCACTGCGGTGCACCCAGAGCAGGTACACCCAAAACTGCAGAACGGACTGACAATACCTCACTCCCACTTGTGTATCAACTGCACAAGGTGCAGGGCAAGAAGTATTTGTCAGAGTGACTAAAACTGCAGTTTTCCTCCATTCCATCCCCTCAAAAGTATGAACCATTATAGTCCAACTGAGTAACAGTGTGAGAAACTTATACTGTATTATTCTGGGAGAAAAGAGCCCAGCAGAGGAAAGACATCTCCTTCAGGTATGCAGGAAGCTTCCAGTGCAGCAAATCTGAGATCCAGGACTGAACCTGCAGCAATACTTCTCACAACAAAGCACTGGACAAAGAGCTATACATTTGCATAGATGCTTTTTCAGTGGCATCTGAGATGTGCAATCTCCATTTCTGGAGCATCAGCAATGTTTCAGGGTTTGTCTCATGTCTTTCTTCTGTTCCTTCCTAAATGCAACTGCTATAAAACTGCTCATGAAAACAGTGTATATACATGCATGAAAAGAAATCAGTGTGCCTATTCTTTCATTCCCCCAATCATTTTCCACTGCAAATAGTTGCAAAGCTGTAAGAATCTTAAACTAGAAGAAACAGTATTGGTACAATCTAATGCCAATCTAAGGACAGGACTGCTTCTGCATGTATCCCAATGAACTCAATTGTTTCATAGAAGAGCTTGATTTTACTCTTCCTCGTTTTCTTTACATTTGGGGAGACCTACCACCTAATTTCTCTTACACTCAAGCAGAGCCCTCTCAGTTATGCGTTTGACTGCTTCGGAAAGACAGCAATAACAAGGAAAACTGAATTCCTATTGTGTCTGCAACCAGGTACTGAAGGCAGAATTGGTCCACCTTATATTATTATGCAGTTGTCTTGCTGCTCCTGCCTTGCTGTACTGTAACTCTGGTTTGGTAAGAAAAAGCAAACTCAAAGCCAAGCAGAACAGCTCTTATGCAAAGGTAAATAGTTCACAAGGTTAACTATCTGCCAGTAATCCTACCTATCAGAAAAGGAAACCTTTCACTTCATTTTACTTTCTCCTGAAATCACAATATTCTGTCAACTGGTTCCATCCCATAACTCTTGGATCTAGCGTTACAAGGCTCTTAATAACTCCCTTCCCCACACAGCTCCCCCCACTGAAGGTTTCAACTTGAGCATGACACAGACAACACAGTTCAGCTTGATCACCTTTCCCGCATAGCTGTGCCACTGCAAACATTCAAATCAGATGAGTTCAGCTTTTCCCTCGAGCAAACAACACAATATCAATGAAACATGCAGAAGACTAATCCTGGGATACCTTTACTTCCTAGGCTACCAACAGTTCCTTTGCCTTTTTGCTACAGAATTCAGCAAATACCCCCACAATATAGGTAAGGACAGCAGAAAGATGCAAGCCTGCAAGGGACAGCCACGACATCCCTTGTTTACTCTAAATTGTGTAATGGGCTCTTGAATGCTCATGGAATGAATTCCCACTTACCATCACAGGAGTTACTTAGAAAGTGTCATCCTACTTGAACAAGACAGCCTTTATAAATTAGTACAGTATTATTAGAAATTATGGCAATCTTTTTGGTAGCATTGGCTTACATGCACCCTGATAAATCCTCTCCCTAGGAAACTGTAAAACTTGTCTTGTAACTTCGGTAGAGTTAATTCAGATGAGAAATTATAAAATAGAAATCTGGTATACTGATGTTTAAAAAGGAAGAGGCCTGGTGAGGCTGGGCACACTGGGTCACTCCTGTTAGCTCTGTCCGTTATGTCTGCTGAAGGTATTTCCTCCAGGTGGCTGGATCTGGATGGAGTCCAGGAGGGGCCTTAAAGCTTGTCCAAAAGGTCTGAGAAGGTAAAGAAATAAACATCTCAATAATCATCTCTTGACGGAAAACTTTTCCCATTTCCTACTGAAGTGCACTCACTTCCTAGAGCGCAAACTAACACTGCTTCTAAGCAAATCTGAAGAACAGACTTCCATTACAAACTGAAGTTGTATCAAGGATCAGGGGGTCACTAAGAGCAGCCAACATGGTTTTACTAAGGGGAAGTCATGTTTGACCAACCTTATAGCCTTCTATGAGGAGTGACTAGGTGGATGGATGATGGTGGAGCAGTAGATGTGGTTTTTCTTGATTGTCTCCCACAGCATTCTCATAGATAAGCTAAGGAAGTGTGGGCTTGACGATCAGGTAGTGAGGTGGATCAAGAACTGGTTGAAGGGAAGAAGGCAGAGAGTTGTGGTCAATGGTGCAGAATCTAGCTGGAGGTCTGTGACTAGTGGAGTGCCTCAGGGGTCAGTGCTGGGACTAGTGCTGTTTAATATTTTCATCAACGACCTGGATGAGGGAACTGAGTTCCCATCAGCAAGTTCACTGATGACACTAAACTGGGAGGAGTGTCTGACACCCTAGAAGGCTGCGCTGCCATTCAGCGAGACCTGGACAGGCTGGAGAGTTGGGCGGGGAGAAACTTGATGAAATTCAACAAGGGCAAGTGAATCAGAAGCAGAGTCTCGCATCTGGGGAAGAACAACCCCATGTACCAGTACAGGTTGGGGACTGACCTGCTGGAAAGTAGCGAAGGGGAAAGGGACCTGGGGGTCCTGGTGGATAGGAGGATGACCATGAGCCAGCAATGTGCCCTTGTGGCCAAGAAGGCCAATGGCATCCTAGGGTGTATTAGAAAGGGTGTGGTTAGTAGGTCAAGAGAGGTTCTCCTCCCCCTCTATTCTGCCTTGGTGAGGCCGCATCTGGAATATTGCGTCCAGTTCTGGGCCCCTCAGTTCAAGAAGGACAGGGAACTGCTTGAAAGAGTCCAGCGCAGAGCCACAGAGATGATTAAGGGAGTGGAACATCTGAGGGAGCTGGGTCTCTTCAGCTTGGAGGAGACTGAGGGGTGACCTCATCAGTGTTTACAAATATGTAACGGGTGGGTGTCAGGATGATGGAGCTAGGCTTTTTTCAGTGATGTCCAGTGATAGGACAAGGGGCAATGGGTGTAAACTGGAGCATAGAAGGTTCCACGTTAACATCAGGAAGAACTTCTTTACTGTGAGAGTGACAGAGCACTGGAACAGGTTGCCCAGGGGGGTTGTGGAGTCTCCCACACTGGAGATATTCAAGGCCCGCCTGGACAAGTTCCTGTGTGATGTACTCTAGGTTACCCTGCTCTTGCAGGGGGGTTGGATAGATGATCTCTTGAGGTCACTTCCAACCCGTGGGATTCTGTGATTCTATGAAGTAAATTTAACCAGTTAGAGAGAGTTCACTGTTCAGGAACCGAGAATCTCAAACATGATTTTATATAAGCTAGTTCTGAGTTCTAACGTGCCCAGACTGCTAATGTGGTAATACCGTGTCTGAAACTGGCTTTTAGTAATTCATTCTACTTAAGTGTGTGAATGAAAGCCCTGTTATGCAACTGCTGTGCTCTGTTAAGTACTACATCAATGTTAAAGACTGCTAGAATACCCTCTAGCTCCCTCATAAGACAATAATGGTTCAACACTCATACAACAATTGCTGTTGCAATCTGTAGCACTGCAACATTGAAAGATAAACCTGGTTTATCTTTCAATATGACTCACTCTGTTACAGACTTTATTTGATTTTGAAACATCTGAAGCAGTAAGAGCCCAGGATAGAAGACGTGTGTCTCCCCAAAAATGTGGTATACCACTGTTATGAGAAATAAGACCTATATGATGGGGATCAAACCAGCCTGCTGGGATCCTCACTATCTGAGAATTAAGAGGAAAAAGAAGTTGAGCTGCACTACCAGGCAGGAATTCTTCATTTTTTCCCTCCAGTCCTAGCTTTAAAACTGCAATGTTAATTCTAAAATTACTTTTTCCCTGCCTGATGACATTTAAGAGACCATTGCAAAATAACTAGCGTAAGTTAAAAGCAGATCAACCTTATCATGCCTTTTCAGCAACGTCAGTGCCAATCAGCACCTGTTGTACAGTACTGTAAGCGTTCAAGTAAAGCAAACAGCATCCTCTCCTTAATCTTATGCTGGTTCTCTGTCAAATTTGTAAGCACTGGCATGAAACAATACACTATGGAGAGGAACAGCATGCATACTCACGTGGCAAGAACTTCAGCTGGAAGGTCAGTGATGTAGGAAGGGATTTTTTTTCCTGTCAGGAACTGTGCCACTTCATTACTGAAGGTGTTGCAGTTATGTTCAAAGAGGTTGTAAGATTCTCCTCTGTGCCACAGGAATTGAAACATCAAAATACAGGGTCAGCAATAAATCTAACAAGCAGAAAAACTTCAACCCCTAATGAGGAACATCATCTTATATTAGCACTTTTTCCCCACAAAGAATTCCAAGGCAAATAGAGACATCAATTCACCTTCAAATTCAATTGAATCAGGGAGGAAAATGGCATCTCTGCATCACTGACTTTATACAATGTTTTTTGGAGGGTAAGTGAGGTCAGTGTTCTTCAATTAAGACCACAGAAGGAATAATGAGAAATCACAGGAATTACTGACATTGAAATATAGCCAGAACACTAAATGCTACTTCCCCATTCTTGTGAGTAGACTAGAGTCTTTAACAGTCAGGGCCTTGATTTTACTCGTACGAAAGCTGGCAGCTTTAATACAACACTCTACCTATGACTCATGGGGCAAAGCACTATTTACTGAAATATTTCATATAGTGCCTTCATTTTCCCTGGTGATTCTTTCAAAGGCATTTCAGGCATTGTTCCATTTGACAAAAAAGCAGCATGAAAGACTTGCTGGCAACAGCACTTTCTCAGCCTAGCTCAAGGCTGGCACACTAGAGTTGCCTAGCCGGTAGCTCCTCGTGTATCAGTGCATCAGATCCAGTCTCATAGTCGGAAAGTACCAAATAACACACTTAGCAGACAGAGCTTTGTAAGCAGGATCGCTTTCTTAATATCTTCCTCCACTCTGCATCTCTTCCCCTAAAGGCTTTTTTTGTTGATTTTACAGTACAAGCTGCTACTTACCGGAACATAGATTCCCCCAATGAGGAAAGATACTCCAGAAAAATTTCTTCTGTGACTTCAGTGTTCCCCAGGTCAACAACTGTGTCTGGAGGTCCAAGAAGTGTCCCTCCCTGTAAAAATTAACAGCCAGAAGACAATGTTAAATGGACAGACTGAATTATTTGGAAGGACTCTACTGACTAGAGCCGTCGTGGCTTGTCCAGGCACAAAAGAAAGTAATTCAGATATATTTGTCAAGCAAAAAACCCTGCTGGCCTCCCCTGTTCTGGGAGCATGTTACTTCATGTTTGGGAGCATGTAAGTTGCATGTTACTTCTCATTCTCTGAGAAGTATGCAGAATGCAACTTACATTTCAGTTTGTATACTTGGCTCTTGATGATGAAAGCTGTAGGCTATGGCAAAATTCTGCTTTAGAAGAATGGTCCAGCAGTTTTGCCTCTCCAAGTGGAAAAAGGTCTGTCAAAGCATCAGGATTTTATTATTTAAGATATAAAAAGGATCTTGAGTTGCCAAGTCAGCACATGAACGCCCCTGATTCAGAATTTGACAAGGCATCACTCCCGCAATGCAGCTGCAGAAGATGTTGTGGATAGACAGATTCTCTCAGCAGAAGCAACTCCCAACCTGTATTTAGTTGGGCTTAAACCTGCTGTCCATGCTCCCTTTTCCTCAGATGCCCTGGGAATCCATGGCAAGCAGCAGTATGTGGCTGCATTCAGAAGCCTCTTGCTTCTTTCTTAGAAGACAGTGTCAAAAGCAATTCTGACCAGGTAACCCCATCACAAAATTATCACAAACAGAAGTTTAACTTACAGGTGCACAGCTGGAGATTCCTCCACTGCCATAGAAGAACTCATCCTTATGGACTATTATGGAGGTGTGCCTGCCACAGAGTATGAAAACACAGGTAAAACAAAGGAAATATTTAACCTAGCATATAAATCACTGGCAAATTTATGTGCTCAAAGACAATATGAAGTGAACAACTGAAAAAAAAGGTCAGTGTATTGTGATCTGCTGGGACATGAATGCATATGGAAGCAGTGATTATCAAGCCTATTGTAATACTGTCAGTGGTTGGGAAAGAATAGGCGCAGTTACATGCTCAAGCATGAAGGAGCATAGGAAGAAAGGAACTTCCCCACCAGCATGAGATCTCCAGCAGCCTCTTTCAGCCAAAGGGCTGAGGGTAAATTCACAGAGATGGAGAGACAGAGCTAGCCCTGCTACCGCACTGACAGCAGTGTGGGTCTGACAGACACTGACTGAGAAGGTCAGACAGTCACTGGAGACGGATCAATAGAGAGGAAAATGGGAGCTTTGGGAACGTGTGTTTGCCTTAAGAAAGAAAAATTATCTCAAACAAAAACCCCCAAACCCCAAACCAACCAGCAACCACCCTCTTGATATGAATGACAGCAAATTGGGGTGTCTTTTGTAACAAAACGCAGCCACTGCTTTTATGTGCTAGAATGCCTGATTTTGTAATACCTTCTTCCCACCTAAAAGTGCCTGGGCCAAAGACAACATCCTACCCTTGAAAGAGTGTACAAGTGCATTAAAATGCAACAACTACTACCAGCAATTTTTTTCATGGGGTCCACTGAACTTTGGATGGAGAAGTTCAGCCAGCACCTGACTGTACATCATCTGACTGCCAATCTGTATTCAGGAAGCAAAAGTGCCTTGGTCTCTCTTCAGCACCAAGGAGTTCTTAAGATCTGAAGCACACATAATCTCATACTGAAAATACTTCCTATATGACACAGTGTTCAACACACATTATGCGATTTAAATCTAGTCACTTACCATATGCCATCCAGCTGTTTCCCTGTATGCAGAGAAAAGAAGAGTTATTAGCAACATATTTTCCAGATTTCAGCCTACAGTCTGTCAATCACATACGAACTATGCTCATTACTTCACCATGACAATAATGCCAAAGATTTCATCCCACAGCTTCTTCTAAAGAAACACAATGTCTTTCTTTCAAGTTAACTACCCGGTCCACACTAGGGCTATACTTTTTTCCTCGTGTAGGCAGAGGTGGCAATGCCATCCTATCCTGTCAGTGCTTACCTTTCTTAGGCTTTTGTCTACGGAACAAGAAATAAAACACTTTTCCTCAGATTAGCGCCTTCAGTCAGGAACAGAAGAGTTGAATTTTACACAGATTTCATAATTGCAGGCAGTTAGCCAGCACAGTATTTTCAGCCAGTGAAGAGAGATCTGACTCGAACATATGATCTGTGGTCAAAGTCTCTCTAATCTATGCCATGATTTCCTCCTTCTTCTTCCCTCCCCTGCCCCTTAGAATTATCAGTTTAAGTGCAGTCAGGTGGGGAGGAGTGCAGGGCTGGAGTTTATACAAATTGTGTGTTTTGTAGAACACAGCAGCAAAGACTTGCTTCAGGCACCACTAAGCTGACATCACTGTGTCTCCTGAAATGCATTTCTAGCTCCCTGTAAGTGGGAAACCTAAAACTCTGTTCATGGTAGCATCTCAAGATCAAACCTCTCTTCAAAGGACCACCAGCTGTTACTGCTCTAGGCTCAATTATTTTAACTATCATAAGCTAAAGTCTCAGCTTCTCTGCTGAAACTTGAAGAGGCCACTCTTCTGTTGGTGTCTGGCTTCTTCCAAGATACCTGGTGTGCTAGCAGTGATAGGCTGCACTGTACTAGTTCCACTTGTCCTGTGGAAAGATACTCTACAGTCATGGCACTTACATCAGTACCACGGCACCAACAACCCACAGGGAGGCAAAGGCACTGTCTTTCCCTTTCTATACGCAGAAGGTTTTGGGATATTTATTCTCTTACTCCTCCACAGGGCTGCTTGGGTTTGGGATTGCCAGGAGCAAGCATGCTATTTTGAAGCAGCAGTATTTCTTCATGAGTTCTTTCTCTTGGGCAAAACCAACTTTCAGGCATCATCAGGACCAAGTTAAAAAAAAAAAAAAGGATTTTTATTGATGAGGATAATCCTTCAAGAGTTTGGAGAAAAGGATGTTTATGTATCCAAGTAAGGAATAAACAACAGCACAGAGCGAGATACCTGCTTCAGATGAGGGTCGCAGAAGAGCACTGGCAGGGAAAAGGCCGTTGTGACAATAGAGACACCAGTCGAAGCAAGCACACACAGTTCTGAAGTAGGTGGACTGATTCGTCACTACCATGGATTACAGCCAGGCAGCAAGCATATTCCCTGTCATCCACCTCACAAAAATGTAGGCATAGAGTAGGATGAAGGCCAAAAGATAGTAGCAACGATGAGAGAAGCAAAGTGCGTGTTACAAAATCTCAGGAGCATTTGCTCCCCCTTCAGTGTGCCCCATGCTGTTCTCCTCTTCCATTCTCTGTCTCTTGCTCCACACCTTCCCCATTAGAGCTTTTGCCTTGTGCTCTAGAGCTGCCAGAGACACCAGTGGCACTGCAGGCTCACTAGCAACATGCAGGTAGGGTATAGTGCACTGCCTTAACTTTAGCAACTGGCCCATGATAGGCTCCACCATGAGAACTTCGCATAGTGTTCTCCGTATCTGTTAATAGATTATTACACATTTATTCAAAATAAAACACTAGAACTTGAACTTTACCCTTCAGGGCATAGAAAAAAATTCAAACACAGCATATACTAGAATTGTATTTGTCCTTTCGTGTGCTCAATGGAAAAAAAGAGTATCTTAATATTTACTTTCACCCTCATTTCCAGCAAACAGTGATGAAAAGCTTTCCACAAAGCTGCCACTATGCACCTAGATCCGCATGCAGGTGAAAGAGTTCTAGCAGATACTGACAATGGTGCAGGTGCTGCTGAGAACCTGCTCATGCAATCACAGCACCTACTTGAAAAGGTCATTGCAGCAAAGGCTACCACACACTGGGCTGCTCTAGCCAGGCTGCAGCCACCAACTCAAGGGGAGTGACTACCCATATTTGACACTTGTGAGACCACATTTGGAATGCCATGTCTGCTTTCAGATCTCCCCATTTTAAGACACACACTGGGCTGGAGCACTTGCTGAACTGAACAGCAGCTGAGAGAACTGGTCTGCTCAGCCTCAAGAAGAGAAGGCCAAGAGTCCTTATTGCTGTCTACAACAATCTAATGTGCATGGAGGAAAGGGTTCTACTCAGAAGTGAATGGCAAAAGGTGCTAGCTGGAAAAAGGGAAATTCACAGCTAGGTAAGAGGATAAAAAAAAATATTACCATGAAGGTCATCAAACCCTGGGGCAGGGATCAGAATGCATGTGGGATTTCCACTGTGGAGATACTCGGAAGTCAGCTGCTCAAGGGCCTGAAGAATCTGCTCCCACCAGATCTACTTTGAGCAGGACTTCCAGAGGTCCTTTTCCACCACTGCAATTCTCTCATTGCATGAACAAAACCCTAGCAGAATTCAGAAAAGAGACTTTGTGTTAGATTGCAGTCCAACCTTGGGGGCTCCTCTCTGGCCGCTACACATAAAATCTGTAGCCAACAAGAGGCAGCAACTGCCAGGGCAATAACAGCACAGCTCTTGGCAAATGAAGCTGCCTGTCTTCACAAGACATGTCTGTGTGAGGCTGCTCACCCAGGTCAGTTTGTGCCAAGCACTGGTTTGATGATCGTAACAGAGCTGCTGACCTGCTCTTTTTGCTTGGCTCCTGTAAGACATTAACCAGGCCATCATTGCATAAAACACATGCCAGATCTGCAGCACTGATGACAATAAAGCATCCACAGCAAGTCCCCAGCCTGCTGCAGGCAAAACAAAATCCCTTTCTAGCACCAGTGGACTGTGCTTGGTCAGAGGCAGTGCATGCCTCTCCAATTACACTGGGGAATCCCATGCCTAAGAAACCTGCCATTATTCACCCCATACACACCACCAAGAGACATCTAAGACCAAGAACTTTTGGTGTACTGTGCAGTTTCTTACACTACACAGCTGGCTCTTGTCATCTCAACCCTAAACTGACTGACAGGAATAAGTCAATAGCCATCAGCTTCTGAGGAACCTGGGCAGCTCCCTTTCTGCTGCTCAGCAAGAATCTCAGTGTTTGCTACATCATGTAAGAGGTTCTATACAGACCTTCACCTCCACCATCATCTTCCTCCCGAAGTTTTGTCTCTGTTGGTGATCCTCCTGTGTTACTTTTCTTGCCCTTCTCTCAAACTCAGACATTGCACAGAAGAGGTGACAGCTCACAGTGCCACTCCTGACAGGCTCATGTAAAGCCATCAGGACTAAGAAGTGTTTGCCTTCTGCTGGACATTGTTCACTATATACAAAATATGCTGCAGCCTCTGAAGGCTCAATACACAACACAAGCCCCAACAGCATGACCAAGTGAGGGTCAGCACTGTTCTGTTTCCACAGACAGCTGCCCAAGTGAGAGCATGAGTACAGTACTGCTGCAGTAGTGCTACGGCACAAGTTGTATCCACCCCTTACAGTGACACTTTCCAACAAAACTGCTTCTGGCAGCACTATCCAGCTTGAAAAAACAGAAGGTCAAGCTTTTCAGGGAGCCTCCCCATCTAATCCTGCAGTGCAACAGAGCTTACATCCCATAGACAATTGAGCGCTCTAGAGGAAGGGATGGCAAATAATGCCATCTGGGGTACTGGCAGACATCATCACATTTCATGCTTATTGCTGCAACACATTTACTTGCAAGCTGAGGCTGTCTGTAACTACACAGAAAAATCTGATTCCCCAGTAATTTTGATTAGAGTTGCAAAAGCCTTTAAATTGCAGACATTACTCTTCACTCAATAGCTACAGGAAAGCTAATCCAAATGATCCACATGCATATAATATGGAAGAGGAATGTATTGTTTCATATTACTGTTCCACTGAATGATGGAATGATACTCTTTTGGGCATCTCCTGTTTATCCAGGTGAAACAGAAACAGCAAGATAACTAAAGACTTTAGATATTTCATATATCATCACAATATGTGAATATTGTGATATTCACAATATTATCACAATAAATATTTCCAGATGGCTGTGGAGCAGGAAATGATATTGCAAATTTAGATGTACACACTTAATCATACAGCAATTAATGCAGATGGTCAAGTTACCAGGTTTCGGCTGTCCCACAAGTGCAAGCTCAGTCTGAAGTAAATGTGAAGCAATTCAGCTTAATTTGATGTTCTTGCGTTACGAGCTAATGCAAGTTGAGCTACCTGGTGTATGTCACAGACCACAAACATGGACATGAAGGTTACTGTGGTACACCTGTTTGTGAGGATAGCTCGTCAGCCTTTGGAAACCTCATCACATACTTGATCTTTAGGTGTTTTTTTTTAATGCCTGATGTGCTTAGATGGATCTCATCTGAAAATACTCAGTAGAACTCAGAAGGGGATGCCAATTTAGCACAGACCTGTGCGCTTCAACATCTCAAAGATTCGATTTGTTTGAATGAGGCAGAGTATCATCTGGCAAGTAAACAAGTTTTGGGTTTTTTTCATTTGCTGTTATTTTACTTTATAACAGCCACAGCTCAAACACTTTCATGGTGCTTATATGAGCTGGAAACCTAGAGACAAATACAACATTCAAATGCATTAAACAATTCCAGGACTCTCAGCTTAGTCACAGGAATGTGGACAACAAAGTAGTTCAAACTGTTTGTTGTACAACTGACTCAGGAGATTGTCACTGTTAGGATAAGAGGTTATTTTGAAAGAGGCAAGCAAGCCCATATAATTTTAGGATACAATCAAGTGGAATTACTTCCAGGCTTGGATTTATCTGGAAGGCTAAGCAGAAGGAAGATTAGATGCTCACCAGTCTATTTTACTGGCACAGTTAATTTCTTAATCTTGAGGGCCACAAGATGTATTTTATTCCTGTGCATTTTAAATGCCCAATGAAAGTGGTGTTTGTATATTCATTCAAATTACTAGACTGAAGGGCAGAAGAGTTCCGAGACATAAAGGAATTATACAGGGAGATGGGCCACCCATCCACCCCTCAAGCCCAAGAACAACACCAACTCCTGAGCTGTAAAATAAAGAAATAATGGGAAGCTTAGTATTTTTAAACAACATATCTGTGCCCTGCAATGGATAAGCAAACAACCCTGAAAAGCAGTGAACTATTCTCCTGTGGAACTGGAAGCAACAGAAATACCCACTGGCTGACCAAATTATAACAGTGCATTGCTTTGCATATTGTTGTAATTTCCTTAGGCAAATCCATTACGACTCCTGCCCTTTTCAAGTGAAAATTATCCGAATTAGTCAAGCACTTTCTCCTATGTGCTACCCAGGGCACTCAATTGAAGCAAAAATACCTGACAGACAAATGTAGAGAGAGGAGCCTGCTTCAGTTCCCTTCTCCTTGACATGCCTAGAGAAATTAAGAAGTAGGCTAGATTGGGGGAAGAAAATGCATTTAATTTTCCTGAAATCCCTAGCAAATGCTCTGATGGAATCTCACATTGAAGCAGTTCAAAACTCTTCAGAATGGGTGGAAGAGAGTCAGAGTTATGTGCTGGGTCTGGAAAAAAAGGAACAAAGCAGAAGGAACCTCCTTTTATCAGTTACCTTTTGCCATGATCTCTTCTGGGCTGTTAAGTCCCTACAGCTGAATTCACCACTTGCATTTCAACCAATACATACCGCCAAGTTAACTCATTGTTAATTTATACTACCCTCATCCAAAGGTGCTACAGTAAACTAAGGTCCTGCCCATTCTTTGAGTCACATGAGCAATAAGCTCTATTATAGGCCAGGAGAACTTTGAGAGGTGCAAGACATTTGCCTTTAGGCCCATGATGCAATAGGATTTTAATTTGCCTTAAAGATTTCTCTGCCTTTGTACATCTACTTCAAAATCAGCACTGCAAGCTGAACTACTCTGTCTTCCTCTCTACCCTCCACAGAATAATCAGGTGGGTTATATTTTCTGTCTTGAAAACAGAAATCTCACTGCACTCAGGCTAACATTTACTATTTTTAGATCATGTAGGCAGACAAACATAGTCTCTCAGATTGAGAATGGTGGAGAGGGAACAGTACCTGTAGAGAAGATGCATGTAGAGCAACAGCACACAAAAATTAAACACACCACTTCTGATTTCAAAGGCGATCAAACTGCAATATTTGGTCATATATACTTTAGAACAGAAATATTCACCGTGAAATACAGGAATCTCACAAAAAAGTAGGAACAACAAAAAGTGAAGACGTGCCCAAGGGTACGACTGTCTCACCCTAAAGCCTGCTACGAACGGTGTGGTACAGCTCTGCCTTCCAGGTTCATCATTCAATGACAATGAAGGGAACTGATACTGAAAAAGTCAGGACAACATTTAGCAGTGAGAGCTGATCCTTGAATGCTGTATTGATATAACCCATAATACCTCTGGATCCTATTAGCACAACTCAAGATATCATGTGGTGATGCTCTTGCCATAAGAAGGGATGAATCCCAGTCTGGCAGTGGGATCTGAGCTATTTTTGAACACGCTAGGAATTGATTTTAACTCCATAAATTATTGTATTTGTTTCTTCTTTCTAAATCACATGTATTTCCATATAGGTGATGTCACAGAATTATCACTCAAAGCTAAAGCACCGTTTCAATAAAATGCAGCATCTAAAGGAAGAATTCTTGAAGTACAGATGACAAATATATGGCACTAAAATATCTAAGAAATCCTTTCCTCTTTAATTTGTGACTTTTTCTGATGAAGTACAATTTATGGACATCACTGGCAAAAAAAAAAAAAAGGAAAGTAGCTATTGTCCATCTCAAAGTTGATGTACAGAGAAGTAACAACAGTTTTTGCTGTTTTTCAAGAAAAAGAAGGCAAGCAGAACATTCTCTCCATCACTTTGCTCTTCGGGAGGTATCTAAAATAATCTGGAGATATGACAGAGCTGGATGTAAACCACGTAAGAGCCTTAACTTGAAGAAAAAAGGAACAAACAATGATTTGTTTTACAGACAATTCAGTTGCTGGATCCACATTATCACAAGCGCTCCGCAGGCTGCACTGTCACTGTGACCACATAGGCCTCGTTGGCTCTGCTCCCTGAACACGTCTGAGCTCAGCTGGTTACCAGGCAGTGTGAGTGACACATTCCCACACTGCCAAGAGGTGTGTTCAGCTTTGTAAGTTTTCCTTTTCATTACTCAGACTCCTCGAAATTTAGCATCAAACTGCATCACAAGCACAAGGTTTCGAAATTGCTGTTCGGATAGCATCAAAAATGAAGTTGTGCACCAAGTGTTTTTATGTAGAAATTCAGAAAGCTAAAAGATCCCAAGATTGAGTTTGTGTGTAAGAAGAGAGACCTGTGCGAAGACTAGCATGGAGATGCACATAGTAACAACCTATTTCTGTACAAGTCTTTGACTGGATCAACATGTTGAAATAAGAGTGGTAAAAATCTGCTCACCTCTAACACAGGTAAATCATACACACATGTAATTTGTATCTTAAGACATGTAACTCCTAGCACAAGATAAAACATGGCTATTGTGAATTAACAAGTGAAAAATTACTTCCCTGAGGGCTGCAACAGAAGTGAGTGACCACACAAAATGTTTTGAGGTTAACCCGTACAGGAAGCACCCATCTTCCACAGCTGTTGTTGCTGTATGGCTAACAGAGTACATCCCATTCAATCTCCACAATATTATCTTCTCAACTTCGGAAGCCTATCACCCTCACAGTAAGAATTATTTGGACTTTGATTTTAAGCCTGCAGGAAAGCACAGAACCTCCTCTTAGTAAAGATGAGTGAAGTCAATGCCAACAAACTGTAAAGCAAGATTACACAGAGCCATCTGTTCAGACACTGTGCCTGTTGAGAAGACTCATTTCATACAGACCGATACATACATGTAACAGGTACAAACCACTTTCTTGTTCTGCTCCTAAATCACACTTCCAAAACTTCAAGCGAAACCTGTGTTTTTTTCTTTCCATGTCCCCAGTCCAAGGTTCAGCTGGAAACACACACATACTTGATAAGCCACACAAGTTCCAACCAGCTCTCTGGAAGAAGGTGGTTTGCTGCACATCACAGCTGTGCAATGCCCAAACCAGTCCAGCCTCACCACAACACGAACTCAATAACCCTGTGAACAGCAGCAGGCCTTCTTCCAGCTCAGCCTTCCTGCCAAGGTGTCACAGCAGTTGGGGCGTCATGAACTGAGCTTTCCCTTACTTCAGGGGCTAAGTAATACTTTTAACTAGCCTTCAGTAAATCATGCCTGGACCCTGTTCACCCGGACCTTCCTGACAACGCTGGTCCCGCTGACAATGGAGATAGGGATGCTGCAGCTAAACCCCACACACCGAGCCCCCAAGCAAGGCCCACGAACTCCTAAACCGTGCTTCAGGCCCCGGCCACCGCCGCAGCTCAGTGCCCGCTACCCACACCCAAGGGAGCCCTTCACCGGCGGGCCATTTCCTTTGGAGAGTGGTACCGGGCCGGGTCAAGCCACGCCCGGGGCTGCAGTGGGTAATTTCGGCCGTTTCCCGTCCGGACCGCAGCGGTGGGTGGGAGAACACGACCCTCCTGAGGCGGCAGCGGGAGGGGAGGCCCGGGCCGGGCCCTTCGCGGAGGGGGGGCAGTGCCGGTGCCCCCGCCGTGCTCTTACCCAGCATGAGGGGGCTGAGGCGCCGGGCCATGCCCTTGGACAGGTCGTACACATAGAGCTTCACGGGATGCAGGGCCAGCGGCTCCTCCATGGGGGCGCGGGCACGGCCGCCGGGCGGCACCGGGAGCCCTGACAGACACCTGCCGCCCCGCCAGGTACCGAGAAGCGGAAGGGAACGGGTAAGAGCGGCCCCCGTACCGGTCCCGCCACCACCGGTCTCGGGTGCGGCGGCACCAACGGTGCGGTGACAGGCGGAACGGAAAAGGCGACACCGCCTCTGCGCATGCGCGACAGCCGGCAGCCAGCCGGGCTGCCCCGTCACTGCGCCGTTATGCAGCGCCGCGGTTCCGGCCGGGGGCGGGACTCGGAGAGGGGCGGTGCCAAAGCTCAGTTCGCGGGGATGCGGGAAGTCCCCCCTGCCATTGGCTGAGGTTTTGGCAGGGTGGCCAGAACTCCCGCCTTCGCTCTCTCTCAACCAATCCAGACAGAGGGGAGGCGTGGCTTTCCTCAGGAGGTGCAGGGCTATTGGTCAGCGGCCCTATGGGGGACTCGTCCCGTGGTGAGTGGTTGGCTGGGCGTGGGGTGCAGGTGCCCGTGGTTCCGCCGGGCCTCGCGCGGTACCGGGAGCCATGTCGGATTGGGTGTCTTACTACCGGAGCGAGGGGCCGGAGGAGGAGGAGGAGGAAGAACAGGACGAGGAGAGGGCTGAGGCGGTCGGTAAGGGTTCACCCCCCATCCCAAGGGGCAAGTCGGGGCCCGCTCCCCTCGGGGGTCAGCGGGTGGAGCGGGCCGCTGCTAAAGCTGTCACCCTCCCTGTTCCATAGCGGATTACAAGTACTTAGGTCGGGACAGCCTCATTTTCTTAGTGGATGCGTCCGAGGGCATGTTTGAGCCTGACGGGGACGGCGTGACTCCCTTTGACATGACCATCCAGGTAAGGCCGCTTTGGGAGCCTCGGGGACCAGGTGGTCGCCCTGCCTGGTCTGTTGGTGTAAGGGCCCTGGGACACTCGAGCAGCTCGATGTGGAAGGATGGCTGTGGGCCTGGAGGATCTGTTGCCTGCTGGGCCGTCTCCAGAGTTGTGAGGGAAACGTGTATGGAATGGGCGATGGATCCGCCTTCAGCATGGATCTTGCTCGTAGAAAGCGAATGCTAATGAAAAAATACCTAAGGCTGTGTACTGGGATTCTTGAAAAACAAAGAGTCCCAAACTCCTTCTCCTGGGGAAACGTATCTTAAACCATTTGTTGTAGTTCTGTTTGCTAGAGTCTACTTTTATACAGGCCTGATTCCCAAAGTCAGAACTGTTGCATCCTTACCACGGGTGATTTTCTTCATGCTTTGACCCATGTGCGTTTTTTCTCCTTTCTTTTTTATTTTTTCCAGTGCATCTGGAGCGTGTACACCAGCAAAATCATTAGTAGCGACAGGGACCTGCTGGGTGTGGTGTTCTATGGCACGGAAAAGAACAAGAACTCTGCAGATTTCAAGCACATCTATGTTCTTCAGGAGCTGGATAATCCAGGTAGAGGCAGTAAAGTGATATGAAAGTCGCATAGAAAGATGGAGTAAGGAAGTCGGTGTAGCAGCACTGTCAGTAACTGCTCTCTCTGAAAACAGCTGTCAGATTAACAAAAAGGTTGCTGTTACTGAGGTGTATTGGGGAGGGGTAGGTTTAGAAGTTTCTTGAAAGCATGGAATCTTAGTAGGAGCTTAGCTTTGTCTGTTATAGTTGGGTCAGATCTTTTTCCTATGTATTTTCTTCTGTTTTAATGTGGTGGTTCACTTGCTGAGTGCTAAACCTAAGAGGATCCTAACAGAACTCTTGAAGACCCATCATGTGTCTGCTACACTTCAGAAAAGCATGTGTACGTGCTAAGGTCCAGTGCATTCTAGCTGATGGAGAATATCACAGAATGGCTGAGGTTGGATGTGATTCCTGGAGGTTGTCTTCTCCAAGGTCAGCTAGAACAGGTTGTCTCTCTAGCAGGGTCAGCTAGAACAGGTTGTCCAATATGTTAACCTGTTTGGTGTGTTCCATCTCATATTTTCAGAACAAGTTTTGCAGTTCTTGAATTTAGCTCTTCCTTTTCTTAGAATTTCATAGAATTAATCGTAGAATCATAGAGTACCAGGTTGGGAGTGATCTCAAGGATCACCTGCTCCAACCTTTCTAGGCAGGCATGAACTAGACTAGATGTCCCACCACGCTGTCCAGCCAAATTTTGAAAGTGTCCAGGGTTGGGGAATCCACCACTTCCATGGGAGATGATTCCAGTACCTGATTCTTCTCATTGTGACAAATTTTTCTCTTGTGTCCAGTCAGTATCAACCCAAGAGTAACTTGTGCCAATTAGCTTTCATCTTTTCCATGTGACTTCTTGTAAAAAGGAGTCTCCATCTTCTTTGTGGCCACCCTTTATTATTAATTATTTATTAGTTGTCTAACATCTGCTTGAGAATGAGTGCCAGTTGCTGAACTGGAAAAGACAGTAGTGCAAAGAATGCATGCAAGTTATTGCTGATTCTCTGACAGCAGTTTTGTGGGTGATTTTGTCTACTAGCTTTTAATAGCAGCCTTTATCTCTGAGGAGGCTTGGTTTAATTTTCTTAACTAGCAGGTTTAATAACACAGGGGGTCTCCCGAAAGAACTGTGCCTTGTCCTAGTTTCAGAATTAATTGCAACAGGGACCTGACAAGGCTGCTTTAAGTTCTTTTCCCTTTTCTGGCAGCAGGCATCTTAGGCTTCTTGCTCATCCTTTTTTCCTGCTCTCTCCCTGCTTGCCCTTTGCCTTGCCTTAGAGGAAGTAGCTTGGCTGTGCTGATGAAGACAATGCAGGTGAAAAGTGGTGGTTGTTAAAAAGGTAGAGAATCATGTATTTGCTGCCCCTGGAGAGCAGCATGCTCTGGATAAGAAAAATAATACTGTAGTTAGTTAGTGTATAGTACATAATTATGAACCTTCCAATGTGCTGTGGAGATACAGAATGTCTTTCAGGCTCCTCTTTTCTCCCTGGTGGCGCAGAAGTCTGTTGTGCCTCTGCAGTGGGTGCAGTTGCTGTCTTTCCTGCTGAGCGCTTGTCCTTCGAGTGTAGAGGGTTTGTAATACTCAGATCCCTGCCTGTTTCCCTCCCCCAGCAGGAAGAGCCCCTCATTATTGCCAGGACACTTGTGTCTTCTTGGCCCCAGTAGGTGCTTTCAGGTGGTAACTGGCTTGCAATATTGCAAACATAAGGCTATACTGAACAATTTTCTCAGGTAGGTGTTGGAAGTGTATTGCCACAAAGGTGTGAGGGGATATTACTTGGATGTCAACTGCAAGGGTCCCTCAGTGCATATTTGGAAGAGTTTGCAGTATTTCTTTCAGTATTTCTAATGTATATGAACACTGTTATTCCCTTAGGTGCAAAGCGTGTCCTAGAACTGGACCAGTACAAGGGAGACAAAGGACAAACACTTTTCCGTGACACCTTTGGCCACAATGCTGACTATTCACTGGGTGAAGCACTCTGGGCCTGCTCTAATCTCTTCAGTGATGTCCGAGTCAGACTGAGCCACAAAAGGATCATGCTCTTCACCAATGAGGATGACCCTCATGCCAATGACAGTGCTAAAGCCAAGCTGGCCAGAACCAGAGCTGGTGATCTGAGAGACACAGGTCATTATTTTCCCCTCTAATTTCAGGCAGAATAAAAGTGATGTATTCTTGCAGATGCTGATTGCATTGCAAGTTTGTGATGGAAGAAGAACATAAAATCATCAGAACTGGCAAAGTTTTCTGAAACTTTCCAAATTAGAAATTTGGTATTTAAGCTAAATTAGAAAATTTCCTATCCAATCTGGTATCCATCAACTAATGTTTATTTTCTAGGATCTCTTTTTCTACTCTGAGAGCATAAATCAGGACTTGAGAGGGCAGGGGAAAACAAACTAATTTATTTCATTGTTCCACTGTTTTCCAGGAAGAGAATAATAACACTAAGTTAACAAAAGGAAAGTTATTTTAGTGGCTCCATTTTGAATTAGCTGAAGAACAGCATCCTGAGCTTAGTGACTAGAGAGCAAACACTTCTTTTATCCAACTGTGTAGCTGTGGTAACCAGTGCTCTTGGAGGTCAGCAGATGTGCTGGATTTAGAAGCTGTGAGGCTTAGTTAATCCATTAGCCCTCAAAACTGGGAACGGGGTATTTCTGAGGTCGTTACTTGCATCTGTGCCTGAGGCAGCCTCTTCATACACAATGTTGTCCAGATTCTTAATTAGGGAGGAAACATTTTTTGTGCTACATTGTTTAGACTGAGGTTGAAGAACGTCTTTTGCCTCTTTCCCTAGAAAACTTCACATCTGGTGCAGATGACAATTTGGAGCTTATTCTTGCTTAAATTCTTTGTGTAAAGAGAGAAATCTGAGAATGCTGAGAAATAATGCCAATGTGGTGAAAAAGCTGTTTCTGTGATCCTCCTTCTCCTATCTTTTACTTTGTTTCTAGGTATCATCCTGGACTTGATGCACTTAAAGAAGCCTGGAGGGTTCGATATCTCTTTGTTCTACAGGGATATAGTAAACATAGCAGAAGATGAGGACCTTGGGATCCAACCTGAGCAGTCAGAGAAACTGGAACATCTCATGAAGAAAGTACGAGCGAAGGAGACAAAGAAGCGGACTTTAGCCAGGTTTGTCCCTAGTTATTCTAGATAATATTCTAGAAATTGTAGTTATTTTAGAAATACCCTAGATATTTCATTCAGTTGAGGCACCTGATGCCTTTTTAGACTGCATCTCAGCTCCCTCCTCTGGAACAGTGGGAATGTAAAGACATCAGTGCTTGCATTCCTCAATCTTAATTCCTTAGGCCAAGATTGGTGTTTCTTCCCTAGCTTCTAAAAGGATATTTATCTTTGGTGGATGAGAAGAGTGGAGGTTGAAGTTTGGTTTCCTTTTTTCCTCTGTGTGACGTCTTCTGTGTTGAGCTTGTCCAGGCATGATCATTTTTTTAAAAATGACATCATTGCCAAGTAAAATACAAAAGACTCTGCAACATGTGAAATAGTTTGTAATGAAATCTGATTGAAATGAGGCTCTTCTTACTGGTGTGAACTTAGAAAGAAGTGCCTCAATATGAATAGTAGGTATTTTGGCCTGTTACGAAATAGTTCTGTGTTGCCAGTCTGTCTAGGCCCTTGGTGTGGACTGACATAGCCTTGATATTTCTGATCGCCTACTCTAAGATTAAAGATACTTTCAGAGAGATTAGAGGGATCTTGACAAAGCAGATAGAAAGTATTTTTGGAGCCATGCACTCCATAACAGTTGTGTTTTTAAACGAGTCAGTTCATAGCAGAATGATGTGAAACCACAT